GACCTTCACGGGTTTCAGGGAAAGGAGTAACGCCAGTCGGATGAATGGTGGGTAGTACGTTTTCAGCACGCTTTATTAAATCAACAACGTTAACGGCTGCTTGTTATCCACCTTTCCATCCGTCTGTGCTACTTCGTCGGGGACTGCATGATGGATAATCAGCTGGATCTGGATCTGAGATCCCGAACACACACATACACAGAGAGAGAGAGAGAGACATACACACACAGAGACAGAGAGAGAGAGAGAGACATACACAGACACACACACAGAGACACACAGAGAGAGAGACATACACAGACAGAGAGAGAGAGAGACATACACAGACACACAGAGAGAGAGAGAGAGACATACACAGACACACACAGAGAGACACACAGAGAGAGACATACACAGACACCGAGAGAGAGAGAGACATACACAGACACAGAGAGAGAGAGAGAGAGACATACACAGACACACACAGAGAGACACACAGAGAGAGAGAGACATACACAGACACCGAGAGAGAGAGAGACATACACAGACACAGAGAGAGAGAGAGAGAGACATACACAGACACACACACAGAGAGACACACAGAGAGAGAGACATACACAGACAGAGAGAGAGACAGAGAGAGAGAGAGAGACATACACAGACACACACAGAGAGACACAGAGAGAGAGACATACACAGACACAGAGAGAGACAGAGAGAGAGAGAGAGACATACACAGACACACACAGAGAGACAGGAGAGAGAGAGACATACACAGACAGACAGAGAGAGAGACATACACAGACACAGAGAGAGAGGGAGAGACATACACAGACACACACAGAGAGACACAGAGAGAGAGAGAGACATACACAGACACCGAGAGAGAGAGACATACACAGACACACACACAGAGAGAGGGAGACATACACAGACACACACACACAGAGAGAGAGACACACAGACACACACACAGAGATACACAGACACGCACACAGACACAGAGAGAGAGATACACAGACACACACACACAGAGAGAGACAGACACACACACAGACACACACACAGAGAGAGCCATACACAGACACAGAGAGAGAGAGAGAGAGAGAGACATACACAGACACACACACACAGAGATACATACAGACACAGAGAGAGAGAGAGACATACACAGACACACAGAGAGAGAGATACACAGACACACACACACACACACAGATACACACACACACACACACAGAGACATACACAGACACACACACACAGAGAGAGAGAGAGACTTACACAGACACACACACACACAGAGATACATACAGACACAGAGAGAGAGAGAGACATACACAGACACACAGAGAGAGAGATACACAGACACACACACACACACAGATACACACACACACACACACAGAGAGCGTATAGTGTAGTGCCTACATAGATGTATGGCACATGCATGAGACTGTTATGAGTGCTCGGTATGTCTACACACATACACACACCCGGCTGAAGGTCTGAGTCCCCATCTTGTTACTATCTTGTTTCTCGAAGGGTGGGGTATTCCAGTGTATGAGACAATGCCAATGTTACCTTCGCCTTCACAGGGGAGTGTGCACACCCCATCAGGGTCGGGGACACATCGTTCACCATTGAATCTCTCCGTGCCAGGGCAGCAGAATTGGGTGAGGGTTCCATCCACGCACTGGAGGTAGTTCCGGCAGTAGCGGGAGTGGGTGTAGTTGCTGGCAGCACAGCTCTGGCCGAAACCTAGTGGCTGTGAAGAGGTTACACAGGTGTCACGGTACGGACTAAACAACCTCTCCAATTCGTACAATATAGCTTCCACTACTGTCCTCCAAACTGACACACTGACCAAACCGGAATATTCGAAACTGCACATTGTCTTTTGTAAATGGAGACACCCTTATGGACACTGAGTATTGACAGCTGTAAATGGAGACGCCCTTATGGACACTGAGTATTAACAGTTGTAAATGGAGACGCCCTTATGGACACTGAGTATTGACAGCTGTAAATGGAGACGCCGTTATGGACACTGAGTATTGACAGTTGTAAATGGAGACGTCCTTATGGACACTGAGTATTGACAGCTGTAAATGGAGACGCCCTTATGGACACTGAGTATTAACAGCTGTAAATGGAGACGCCCTTATGGACACTGAGTAATGACAGCTGTAAATGGAGACGTCCTTATGGACACTGAGTATTGACAGTTGTAAATGGAGACGCCCTTATGGACACTGAGTATTGACAGCTGTAAATGGAGACGCCCTTATGGACACTGAGTATTGACAGCTGTAAATGGAGACGTCCTTATGGACACTGAGTATTGACAGCTGTAAATGGAGATGCCCTTATGGACACTGAGTATTAACAGCTGTAAATGGAGACGCCCTTATGGACACTGAGTAATGACAGTTGTAAATGGAGACGCCCTTATGGACACTGAGTATTGACAGTTGTAAATATGGAACTGAGTAATGACAGGTAAATGGAGACGCCCTTATGGACACTGAGTAATGACAGTTGTAAATGGAGACGCCCTTATGGACGCTCCTTGGACACTGAGTAATGACAGTTGTAAATGGAGACGCCCTTATGGACACTGAGTAATGACAGCTGTAAATGGAGACGCCCTTATGGACACTGAGTAATGACAGTTGTAAATGGAGACGCCCTTATGGACACTGAGTATTGACAGTTGTAAATGGAGACGCCCTTATGGACACTGAGTAATGACAGCTGTAAATGGAGACGCCCTTATGGACACTGAGTAATGACAGCTGTAAATGAGGGCGTTCTTATGACGCTGGAGATTGACATTTGTAAATGGAGACGCTCTTATTGGTAGTTAAACGGAATAAAGCACATAAAACAAAACTTACAAATTCGATCAATTAAATAGTTAGGTCTTACTTGACATCCAACGTTCTCTACGAAGATTTGACCAGCTGGGCAGCATTTGGCTTCCACGGGGGTATCTGAGTTGCCAGTACACTCGTAGAACAGTTCACAGGAGTCCATGAACGGGTGCACGTTGCGTCCGCTGCACAAATCTGAAGTAGATGAATGAATGAGTGAGTTATATTTAATCGTATTTGAGTTACACCACGTCAAGAACATGAATAGTATTTTCCCAATTACAAGGGTACGTAACGAAACAATGGCACATGACCTACCGCATGACTGGTCTTGGATGACGTTCTTGGCGTAGTCGCATGTCTGTTTAGAGTAGCTGAAGAAGGTGCCCAGTCTACATTGCATGGCGGGACTGGCAACGCTTAAAAGGCATCGGTAGAACCTGTCACATCTGCCGTTAATGGGGTAATATTCCCGAGTAAAGGAAGACCTGCCGCCACATGCGTTTGGGGGAGGAGTCACTGAAAAAGATCACCAGACCAATTAGTACCTTCAGCTGCGGTGAGTGTGTGTGTATTATTGGAGTCGACACCTTGAACATTCATATTAGAGGCAAGTGTATGAAATCCGGTGAGGCCCTAGTACCGCAACTTTACCGCAGTATTTCCGCAATAGTACTGCCGTATTACGCAACCTTACCTCAGTATTTCCGCAATAGTTCCGCCATAGTACCGCAACATTACCTCAGTATTTCCGCAATAATTCCGATATAGTGGCGCAACATTACTTCAGTATTTCGGCAATAGTTCCGCCGTATTACCGCAACCTTACCGCAATATTTCCGCAATAGTTCCGCAGAATTACCGCAATCTTACCGCAGTATTTCTGCAATAGTTCCGCAATAGTACCGCAACCTTTCCGCAGTATTTCCGCAATAGTTCCTCCATAGTGCCGCAACCTTACCGCAGTATTTCCGCAAAGGTAACGCGCAGATGAAGATAGGGATCAGTGTAACTCTCACAGATGTGAATAGGGATCAGTGTAACTCTCACAGATGTGAATAGGGATTAGTGTGACTCTCACAGATGGGGGTTGACATTTGTGTGAATCTCATTTATGCAGCTGGTGAGTAACTATAGAGCTGTACAGTTTTTATACCCAATGTTGACAGAAATATTTGTTGGGAGCGTTTAGTTAAATCAGATACAATCGGGGTTCGGGGAGCGGTATTTATCCACATGAGTCATGGTTTTTCGAGTATCCTTTTATCAGGCAGATATTTGATTTAGGCGGAGGCTCAGAACAAATACGATGCTCCTTTAACCAATGAGATGTTTGTTTTAGACACGTCAACCAATGACATGCTCTCCTTTTAAAGTGCAACCTGGGACACGACGACTCAGTAAACTGGTGTAACAAAGACACTGCGCATTCATGGTGTACTGGAAGTCTCCCAGTTGTTACCGAATGAGATTCAGAGTAGGTGTTGAGGTGGCTATCAATGTAGGCGGGCGATGTCCTGCCATGTTGTGATACAGCTATTAAATGTATTACATTAATTTGACGGAATGCAAATGATCAGATTCTGCATAATATTTATTTAGATTTTAGCGTTTAGTTGCGTAGTTTGCCAGCTAAATGATAGGATAGGGTCACGTAAGTACACGAAACTCACCTTCAAAAGTTAAAAAAAAATAATTGAATTGATTTGGGTTAATCAGACTATTTATTTAAGTTAGTGTTAGCCAAGGGACAATAGGTCAGTTGGTCTCTTCTTCCATTATTAAGGAGAATGGGAGACGATGGACATTAGTGGTCATTGCGGGAGATTAGCCAGTCCTACAATTGTATTGGAAAACGCTATTGCAGTTACGGTAGTTGCTATGCAGTTCAATGATGAAGATACCCTTGTACTATTCGACATAACGACGATGCAAACGTGGACTGAATTCTTTGACTGGGTTTGTTTGGTTGTTTACTAGTTTGTTGTGTAACACCGCACGCAACGATATTCTCTCCATATGGCGGCGGTCTGTAAATAATCGAGTCTATACCAGACAATCCTGTGATCGCATCGATCTACGCGAAAGGATACGATGTGTCAACCATGTCAGTGAGCCTGACCACCCGATCCCGTTAGTCGTCTTTTACGACAAGCATGGGTTGCTGAAGACCAATTCAAAGCTGGATCTTCACGGGTTCTTTAATGGCGGCTTTCTTTAGAAGCTACCTGTGGCAGTATCATGCTAGTCTGTACTTTGTCAATTTACTGCAGCTATTAGGTGCCATCGATTGTGCAGTTCGACCCTGGTGTTGCTCGCCATCGACTCACATGACCAGTCTTTTCCAAATTTTATATAAGTTTATTGAATTGTCCACGTGAACCTTTAGGCCACACACCTGCAGCTCAAAGTGGGAAGAGACACTGCTGGGTCACGTGACGACACATAGGTACGTCTACAAACCTGCAGACTATGGAAAGCATTAAATGTGACAGCTAAAAAGTTTCTTTTCAATTCTTAAAATATTTTTCCCCTCGGTGGATACTGACTGGTCAGAAGTCGCTAATGACAATGTGATAACACTCACCTAGCTGGACACTGAGTGTTACCATGGCAGCCACAATGGCCAGCTTGAAGAGGAGACGGGACTCCATCATCAGATGCTGTTGTCTGGGGAGAAATAAAGGTTGACGCTCAGTGACACACTCGAAAACGTGAAATAAAGATTAGATTAGGGATGAAGAATACTACATATTTTTACATTTCGTGTGTTTGAAATTACGGGTGGTGCGGCTGGGTAGCTTAACGGTTCAAGCGTTTGCTTATCATGCTGAAGACTTGGGTTCGATTCCCCACACAGTGTGTGTAAAGCCCATGCCAATTGTATGATTCCGTGATAGTGCCCGGATATCGCTGTAACCTTCAGATTTCCCAGTTTTGTCTATGGTCTAAAATATTTAACATTGTGTGTTTAGAAACGTTTTTGTCAAATACGTGTTAGTAAATATACCTTTTATACCGAGAATGTAGTTTTTCAGTTACAAATGTGAAATATCCAGGTTCGTTCAACAGGAATAAACCAATCAAACCTACTGCAAAACACCACAATAATCATGATGATGGTAGTGGCGATGGTGGTGGTCCATCATCATCATCATCATCATCATCATCATGCCTTATCAAATATTCAACAGCTCACAGATCATGATAGCATAATAAACTAAGAGGCAAAATTCCTTTTCCCGTTAGTTTAATAAGAAAACAGGAGTCGTCACAAGTATAGTGAGTAAGTGAGTTAATATTTAACGTCACATCGGCAATATTTCAGCCATATCGTGACGAGAACCGTCACAAGTATAGATAAATTATTCAAGGTGCATAGATTACACATGAACTACTTCCAGTTAAGAGTAAAATTAAATTTAACATGATTTTAGTAAGCAGCATACGCATATACCTGTGTATAAGAACTTCAGATCAGTTTAAAGGGAGATACCATTTAGAATAATAGAGGTATTTATAGCAAAAGATAACTGATGGCGAACGACTAGTCAACATAAACATAAACCAGTATACATTAGCTCAGAGCTTGTCTTAAAGGAGGTGCTATTCGGAATTTAAGACGAAATCTTCCAGAACACCTCGAACCCCGAGGCATGTCGTCTTATGACAGATTACGAGATTTGACGAGAATGTGATTGGTATTTCAGTCAAATCAGGGCGTGACAACCCAAAGTACTAAATATCGTACAGCTCGCTTGTAAAACACAGTAGTAAATCCATGGTGCAGATAGACCAATAACCAGCATCGAACCTAGGAATCGAACCCAGATAAGCGTGCCGTGTATAGGTCTGTACTTACCTAGGTACAGTAGATGTTCCAGGGACGGTGTTATAAGTGGTGTATCAGTCGGTGAACACACTGTACTAAACGGTAGCGCTTGGTGAGATTCCAGTTGGCGAACTCCGACAGTCACAGACTTATATAAGCCAGACACAATCCTACTGTGAATCACTCTATTGAATGTGCACAAACACCCATACCATATTTACACACTCTCTTACCACTTTTTTCATAATTTTATCAGATAAAAGAACTTTCCCCTGGGTTTGTAATTATACTCACCGTGTAAATAATGCAACTGGTTATATAAAATCAGCCAATGAAATGATATGGTGATTGGTGGGAGTCGTCTCGGGCTCCGTATATGGTTGTGTTGAGTTGCAGGAAAGCAGTGTGGGGATGATACGGGTGGACGGGCGGACAATACGCTCCGAACAAAGATGACATTTGCCGGCGTTTAATGATCAGAATATTTAACCCCAAAACCCTCGACATATTTGACATATATGTGGTATGTTTGAGACGCATCGTGACCACGTGACAACGTGACCAGTTAAAGGAGGACTGCGTGGTTTCTGTATTGTTATATAATGTCAACAAGGACGATGTAAGAGAATTAGGCGTTGCTGGTTTTCACAGGATCAGCTGGCAACTTGTGTCGTGGGCTTCTTCAGAGCGTACGGGGAGTGTTTACGTGTAACAATGGGATGAGTGTCGGGTACAGCGGCCATTATCGGGCTGCATCACCACCTCATCCCCCCGTCTCCACCCCCACCATCCAAGCCCTTTCCGCTTGCATCTTAACCACGCCATTATCAAATGCTCCTTGTTTGAACTCGGCTCAAGATATATTGTAGGAGAAGGGCGTTGAGGAAAGACAGTCTTTAGCTGCATCCAATATAGATAGGCGCTGTTATTACACTTTATAAAAGATATAACAATATGGTGTTAGTTTGTCAAATTGCGTAGGTGAAAATGCCAAGGTGCGTCAGAGGTGGGATAGCGGATCTGACGTCACAGGCTATGTGACGTCACTAGTCTATCTGCCACCATCACTGTGAGGAAGAAATGCAGTGTAGAACATATATGTTTTACTTTACCTAGGTCTCATTATCTGCCGAGAAGACGATCTGCCGGCGGACACGACAGAGTGTACCACGAGACTGGACAACTGTATATAAGGACAGCGGACATCACTTGGAGACAATGTATACCTGTACTAACTACCAAAGGACACCTGTTGGTTATTTTCTTTAACTTAAACAAGTAGACTAACCGGACGATGAATGCCGATCCTCTGCCGTTATTTGTTCTAGCCTGATTTTAAGGAAGCATCCCACCAGTGCAAACATTTTGGATTTCCCATTGGTATGATGACTAAGATTGATTTGGATCCAATATCTGTGTTTTATACCTTGATGTTTAAGCATGTCCTGTACTGATGTCATGTCATTGATCTGTTATATTAAAATATTTGATTTATTTGAAGCCGTAAATTAACATAACCCAATTTTGTCGTTGCTGTAATTGAAAATTCCACTTAGGTAAATATGTATGTCCAGTTAATAACGTTAACACACAACCTTGTAAAAGATAGGAAAGCTGCAATAACTTGGTGCGCCTGGTGGCTGCTAGAGTTGTATGGTCCGCACGGAATTGACATTGATAATACGATGTGCCATTGAGATTGACATCCAATGATTGAGGGAAAAAACAGCGCCTTGAGCATGTACTAGTTGCGTGGATATGTGCGCTATATAAATATGCTGTAATAATAAATAAGTAATAACAACAATAGACTAACAACTAGTCTCTGAAATGAACATATTTAACTGAAAAAAAAGTACATAGTAAAAATATATATATATAATGAAAAGGAGCCCTGAGACTTTCTTTAGCTGTGGAAATCTAGACTTGCCACATGTTCTAGACTTGCGTGGGCTTTCTTGGATATATTTGCTTCAGGGTCTGTACGACAGACTCTAACAACAAGTGTATGCACGGATGAAGTTCCGTTCGAATCCTCCACAACGATTCTTCAGTTTTAAGGCAGCTAAATGGTATGCAATACACCGATTTTACTTCTGTGTTTGGTAGTACAAACCTACACCTGTTTGTTTGCCATCATTTACCTGATGCTCAGTTCATGAAGCTCTAACGAGCAAATTAGTGGTGACGTCAGTAAGATTATTGTTTTCTAAATTTGCCAATACTCGTGTCTGGGGTAATTACTCAATCATATATATTCAGGTCTGATGCGTAACGTGTTGTGCAATTACCAGATGGACGCGCAGCAAGAGAATAGCTCCCAGTTGAATTAAAAAAAACATCGGTTATCTTCCCCAGTGGATTTCTCAAATGTTAGTGTTTATGTACGTAGACCGAGGACACCCATATCCTGTCGTGGAGTACGGAAACATGTGTAAACACAACGTTATTTGTTCAAAGGACCCTGTAGGACAGGGTTGGCTGAGAGATGGTATGTTCAGATTCGATCATTAACAGGCTGCATTCACGGAGAAATAAAATTAAATATCATAATCAATTTGCTCTAGATACCATTTGCTATTGAAGTCAAATGATTCAACTTTCATCTTCTAATTCAAGATGTGAATCAGTTATATCCCTCATCACTTGTTCTCCTCGGACAGCCAGCTGACGCGCCGCGATACGACTAAAATGTTTGAAGTCACTTTGGTCCAATGTGGTCACTGAGCGCGCGTCATCAGTCAGCTTAGAGATTATTTTATTAATCCACCAGGGCCCCGTTCCACAAAGTTATCGTAAGATCTCGTAACTTTTCTCGTAGCACTCGTACCTCCCATGTTACAGCATAGGAGGTACGAATGCTACGAGAAACGTTACTAGATCTTAGGCTTACGAGAGCTTTATGAAACGGGGCTCTGAACATTTCCAGTAGACTAACAACTAGTCTCTGAAATGAACATATTTTACTGAAAAAAGTTCATAGTAAAAAAAATATATATAATGAAAAGGAGCCCTGAGACTTTCTTCATTTTCAGAAGCTGAGGAAATCTAGACTTGCCACATTTTCTAGACTTGTATGGGCTTTCTTGGATATATTTGCTTCAGGGTCTGTACGAGAGACTACATTTCCAGCTGCCGTCCTCTATGCGGTTGTCTGTTGGCATTCTGCCTCTACCTAGTCCGTGTGAATATCAAGTCCTCTTATTGATGCGAGCCCCATCAGTGACCTGCCAAAGTCTTTATTTTCCAACTGGAACATTGTGAGGTAACACATAGAAAGAAGTTTATGACCGATTACACAAAAGGACAGAGCGGTGACGCAACAAGCCAGTCTGCACATCGAGGAGCCTGCTGCTCCAGCTTTTCATTCATATGTATATACAGAATACAAGGTGTTTTCTGGGAGGATCCGCTAAGCCATCAAAGGTGCCTGCTATACTTTACTCTGCGACAATGTGCAGTTTTGAAATACGCCATCACGGGTTGTTGTTATACCGCTGTTCAAATTACCTCCCCCGTGACCAATCAAAATAGCGGAACCACATTTTTAAACGTGTCGAATTATTGAATATTACTACCTGAAATATGAATAGATTAAATCAAATAACTATCACTCCGCGGTGTTATCCAAGACGGAGGTAGAGACAAAGTTGGCAAAGGCTGGCATTGTATTCATTGGAATAATATCGGTGTCTGGACAAAAAGATACGTAATCCTTGAAAAACACAGAGACGAGCAATCCTTGAACAACACAGGGGCGAACACTTCTTGAACAACACAGGGGCGAACACTTCTTGAACAACACAGAGACGAGTAATCCTTGAACAACATGGGGACAAGCAATATTTGAACAATACACACACGAACAATCCTTGAACAACACAGAGACGAGCAATCCTTGAACAACACAGGGGTGAGCAATCTTTGAACAACACAGAGACGAGCAATCCTTGAACAACACAGGGGTGAGCAATCTTTGAACAACACAGAGACGAACAATACGGGGCGAGCAATCTTCGAACATCACAGGGGCGAGCAATCCTTGAACAACACAATCCTTCATCAACACGGGGAGAGCAATCCTTGAACAACACAGGGGGCAAGCAATCCTTGGACAGCAGGAGTGAGCAATCCTTGAACATCACAAAGACGAGCAATCCTTGAACAACACAGAGGTGAGCAATCCTTGAACAACACAAAGACGAGCAATCCTCGGCAACACATGTGTAAGTTATCTTCGAACAACACAGGGGCGAGCAATCCTTGAACAGCACAGGGGTGAGCAATCCTTGAACAACACAGCGACGAGCAATCATTGAACGACACAGGGTTGAGCAATCCTTGAACAACACAGCGACGAGCAATCCTCGACAACACAGGGGTGAACAATCTTTGAACAGTTCCCCACACACAGATACACCCGAAGATCAGTGTTGGAGACTAAGTACTGCAGTCAAACAACATTACCGCTGTTACTCTTCCCCTGCCATGTTCGCATCCATCCTCGTGCTGTAATTAAACCGACGTACAAAAGAAACTACACGTGTGGTGTTTGTGGGTTATTTTAAAATAACAACGTGTGAGTGTTTGGATTGTGTCATACAAGTCCCAAATAATGTGTACTCATTGAAAAACGCCTAAAAAAAAGTACCAAACTGAGACGCCGCCAGCGCTCAAAGTAGACGGTTCAGGCGATGTTGCCTGGTAATGACATGCCCCCAAGGGCTCAATAGGCCCGGGTGCCCACAGTACGCAGTCGTCACACCACTGCGTTCCTGCTGATGCGGCCACTGAACGCTGTGATGCTGATGACGTCACTGTAAACATCCGGTTGCACAGATGGAGAATGCTCTGGTGATGGTTATCTTGGTGGAGGCCACTCCGGGTCTTCTCGTTCTGGGGCTGTCAGATGTCAGGCTGTCTCATCTGTTTGATGATGGCTTACCTTGTACAGCCAAGCGTTCTGGCAGTATCGCTGTTTCGAAGGCACTATCTGTGACATTCCAATTACTCGTTCTTGCTCCGCTGCTGAGAATCTTGACATTTGGAAGTGTGCCTTTAACAGGCAAACCAATATTAATGTCTGGGGACTGTGGCTTAAACTGTAGGCGCACTACATGCACACGGATTCAGCAAAATC